TAGGATTTGAAGATTAGTATTTGAAGATTAGGATTTGAAGATTAGGATTTGAAGATTAGGATTTGAAGATTAGGATTTGAAGATTAGGATTTGAAGATTAGGATTTGAAGATTAGGATTTGAAGATTAGGATTTGAAGATTAGGATTTGAAGATTAGGATTTGAAGATTAGGATTTGAAGATTAGGATTTGAAGATTAGGATTTGAAGATTAGGATTTGAAGATTAGGATTTGAAGATTAGGATTTGAAGATTAGGATTTGAAGATTAGGATTTGAAGATTAGGATTTGAAGAATATTGGAAAAACAATTCGTCTCAAACCAATCCAGGATTAAGACATTTTGGAGCCTTTGGATTTTAAAATTTATTGTCCATTGAAGGCCCATTGTTTTGTAACTAAATATAAGCTTTAGCGAAGGCAGTCACATGTTGGCGCCATCGATTAATGTTAGCCTTAGAATGCTATTAAAATACGAAGAACCTTTTGGTGACTAACCATTACATTTATTTTTTTAGATGACTTCAGTGACGTCACGTTTCCAGCATTTGTGGACAGTGATGACCCCAACGGGCCAGGTAATATGAAATAGTTACATTCGTCGCTCTAACGTGTCAGGTAATATAATATTAACATATTCGTAATCCTAAAAGACCAGGTAAATACATCACAAATGATTACGTCATCTTCCAGGGTGACAGGGAAAATATCATAAAAGTCTAGAAGTGGCGTAGCAGGTTATATCGCCGCCAGGGGCGGAACATGCTTTTGGCAACCCCATTCATAAGAAAAAAACTTTGAATTTGACCTAAAGAGACACACTTCCCATAAAGGTGACAAGCCCCCTCCACACCCCTTCCTAAGCCGTCACTGTATCATCAAGTTTTCTACGAAACTAAAGGAACATTCAAAGGTCCAGAACTTGCGGTATAATTAAGAGATCAAAAGTAGAGTAAAAAATCACGTTTAACAAATTACCATCAATAAATCACGTTCAATAAATAATCATCAATAAATCACGTCCAATAAATAATCATCAATAAATCACGTTCAATAAATCGTTTTCAAAAAATCACGTTCAATAAATCATGTTTAAAAATCACCTTCTATAAGCACCGAATACAAATTCAATCTATAAATCATTTAATTATGGGCATAAACAGAAATTAAATTGATTGTAAATGTATTGAATTTGCTGGTCTTACGTGAAATTGAATTCGTAATGTTAAAACGGTCATAAGTACAGCGTAATAAAGACTAAAAATGAACGGTTACCGGAAATTTGATCGAAAGAAATTTCGTCGACGGTAAATTGATCGACGGTAATTTGATCGAACGGAAATTTGGTCGAATCTTTTTTTCCGTTCGCACGTTGAAATTTTCGTCAAATTTCTTTTTGAACGCACTATACTATTTAGTAAAACAAAACAATTCGTTCAAAAAGAAATTTGATGCAAAATTGTTACGTAAGAATACGGAAAGGAACACCTAACTAATTTTGCCTGACTCATAAGGGGAATATCTCAAAATATAAAGGCCTTGCACATTCCACTTTTGTATAATTGTGTCTTTAACATAACGTCAAGTTTTAATAAATTAATGTTGTATGTCGTCTCTGTATGATTGGTTGGTGGTTTCAATCAGTTGTTAGTTGTATGTCGTCTCTGTATGATTGGTTGGTTGCTTCAATCAGTTGTTAGTTGTATGTCGTCTCTGTATGATTGGTTGGTGGTTTCAATCAGTTGTTAGTTGTATGTCGTCTCTGTATGATTGGTTGGTGGTTTCAATCAGTTGTTAGTTGTGTGTCGTCTCTGTATGATTGGTTGGTGGTTTCAATCAGTTGTTAGTTGTATGTCGTCTCTGTATGATTGGTTGGTTGTTTCAATCAGTTGTTAGTTGTATGTCGTCTCTGTATGGTTGGTTTGTGGTTTCAATCAGTTGTAAGTTGTTTTTCGTATTGATGCTTGTAAGACTTGGTAAAGGCAAGAACGTTATTGAAAAAAAAACAACACAAAATCAGGGCAGTATTCGTTGGCTCAACTTTTCTTTACATGACGTATACAAGTCTTTTATAACAATATAGATAGAAAAAGTTCCATCATTTGTAAGTTTACAAAAGAAAGCAAAATAAAATAGACATTTGAATATTCCGTTAGTTCTATCAATTGATGATTTCATTTCCAGGGGCAAATGGCGTGGCCGTGACCATAGAAGAAAAAAATCTTTCTGAAAGTGACAGACAGGCGTACAAGAGAGGGTGGCAACAGCACAACTTTAATGAATATCTTAGTAACATGATATCAGTGCACAGGAGATTGCCAGCTTGTTCACATGAATTGTGAGTCCTGTGTTTGTCTCTATATGAACTGTGAGTCCTGTGTCTATATGAACTGTGAGTCATGTATCTGTCTCTATATGAACTGTGATTCCTGTGTCTGTCTCTATGTGAACCGTGAGTCCTGTGTCTGTTTCTATATGAACTGTGAGTCCTGTGTCTGTGTCTATATGAACCGTGAGTCCTTTGTCTGTCTCTATATGAACCGTGAGTCCTGTGTCTATATTAACTGTGAGTTCTGTGTCTGTATCTATTTGAACTGTAAATCCTGTGTCTGTCTCTATATGAACCGTGAGTCATGTGTGTGTCTCTATATGAACCGTGAGTCCTGTGTCAGTCTCTATATGAACCGTGAGTCCTGTGTCTGTCTCTACATGAGCCGTGAGTCCTGTGTCTGTCTTATTATGAACCATTAGTCCTGTGTCAGTCTCTCTATGAACCGTGAATCCTGTGTCTGTGTCTATATGAACCGTGAGTCCTGTGTCAGTCTCTATATAAACCGTGAGTCCTGTGTCTGTGTCTATATGAACCGTGAGTCCTGTGTCAGTCTCTATATGAACCGTGAGTCTTGTGTCTGTGTCTATATGAACTGTGAGTCCTGTGTCTGTATCTATTTGAACTGTGAGTCATGTGTCTATATGAACCGTGAGTCATGTGTCTGTCTCTATATGAACCGTGAGTACTGTGTCTGTCTATATATGAACTGTGAGTCCTGTGTCTGTCTCTATATGAGCCGTGAGTCCTGTGACTGTCTCTATATGAGCCGTGAGTCCTGTATCTGTCTCTTTATTAGTGCTTTCCAAACGGTCCATGTTGGTGACACACTTTTTAGACACACTTACTTCGCGACACAATAAATAGATTTTACCAGCATACTACACATTTTAAATCAAGACATACAGGCACATACATAACGTGTAAAAAAAGAAATGTATGATGACGCAACATATCTTATATCATAAAAACATTTCATTTATATTGGTACATACGGTGATGGTTTTGAAGATTTAATCTACGTTAATAGTTGGCACGTATAGGAAACAATACGAAACAAAAGATTGATATAACAGTGTGCCATTAAAACGATACCAAATCTAGTGTTACTAAAGATATTTAAATTAATCACCTAAAATATTCCAATAAAAATTTGAATACAGTAGCAAAAATCCCCCCTTCCTCTCCTTATCTTTCTGTCCCTAACAATCTAAGTCTTGCCATGTCCAGCGGTTGCGAAAACTTTTTTGGTTTTAGATAGAATTAACTCTGAACGTTCTAGTAAATAAAATCTAGAAATTGTCACCCTAATATTCTTGAGAACAAATGAAATGCATCTGGATGTAAACAAAATTTTCCGAAGCCAACAAAGGAGCGGCCAGGGAAGGAGTGAGCCAGCACAGTTAGATGGTGACGTAAATATCAAGCTCATCCAAAAGAACATGTTGTAGTTGCTAAAAATAGATGTATTTTGAAGTTTAAAATTAACCCACACCCTACGCTATCCTAGGCTATATATAACATATATTTTTGATGTAATGGGGAAAAGTAAATAAAGATCTCATATTCACCATTTTTCCACAATATTTTTACCAATTCCAACCATTCTTATATCATCTAATACTTATTTAGGAAATTAAATGTTAATCACTCATCTGATTGAAATGGATTCCACATCCTGTCATAGTCTTGGATTTCGGCATTAAAAAAAAAAAAAGATTTATTTGAACATTTTCTTGGATCATATGGTGTACATATTTGATACACTGCTTTTAGTTTCACTTTTATTATTTTAATGGTGGTGTTTATTTATCTGAGTTTTCAAATGTTCCATAATAAAGTTCATTTTTTTTTAAAAATAAGATCGCATAATTCATTTAAAACATTTTCTTTAAAAATTATAAGTATAGTTTTCCTCAATTAATAGGCACGTATATCAGAGCTATGAATTGCAATGTGTTGTGCAACCTTTAAATATGTTGACACCATTTGTTCGCAAAACTTAGTGATATTATTTTTATTATTATCTTGGCTTCTTTTCGCGTGACACACCTACACACTGCAGGCTAAACACTACTGTGTCGCGACACACTTATACGCCGAAGTCGAAACAATATAATTTGCGACACACAGCTTGGAAAGCATTGCTCTAAACTACATGTAATCTGTGTTGAAAATATTAAGTTGCTAAGCTACTTCACAAGGAAGATAATCAAACAACAGAGGCAACCATCAAGGTTAGTTCAACGTTTTATTGTAGGAGAACAACATGGAGTCCTACCAACATGGAGCACTCGACAAGACAGCATCAAAACATGACGTCACTACACAATAAATAATGTGGTGTGCAAAACAATGCGCAATTTGCATTCAGCATTTTGTCAATTTCCAACAATCTGTCAATATCGTTTCTATCTTGTTCAAACGTGATTTGTTTAATATTGTGACTATCTTTGTACTAACGTGATCTGACAATATCGTGTCTATCTTTGTACCAACGTGATCTGTCAATATCGTTCTGTTTCTAAGCTACGCTTTCAGTGAAATCATGTTAAGTTGTTTGGGTCGTAACATTTTTTTCCCCAGATGTAAAAAAGCCTTTCAGGCGTTCAACGGCTCACTGGATCCACTAAGTGTCATCATCATATTCCACAACGAGGCTTGGTCCACACTTTTAAGATCTGTTCACAGTGTTTTATCCCAAACTCAACCAGATCTGCTGAGAGAAGTTATACTAGTTGATGATTGCTCAACATTAGGTCCGTGGTAATTTTTTTTCCAAACATTGGCGAAAGCAATGCGTGAACTTCCCATCTAGTAGTTATAGCCCACCAAACATTGGCGACAGCAATGCGTGAACTTCCCATCTAGTAGTTATAGCCCGCCAAACATTGGCGACAGCAATGCGTGAACTTCCCATCTAGTAGTTATAGCCCGCCAAACATTGGCGACAGCAATGCGTGAACTTCCCATCTAGTAGTTATAGCCCGCCAAACATTGGCGACAGCAATGCGTGAACTTCCCATCTAGTAGTTATAGCCCGCCAAACATTGGCGACAGCAATGCGTGAACTTCCCATCTACTAGTTATAGCCCGCCAAACATTGGCGACAGCAATGCGTGAACTTCCCATCTACTAGTTATAGCCCGCCAAACATTGGCGAAAGCAATGCGTGAACTTCCCATCTACTAAAGTCACTTGACAAAAACTTGAGCTCAAGCGACGCACATTTAAGAATGCCAATTTTGTTACACCCCCCACCCTTCCCCCCATGATACGACACTGCACACTTTTTATTTCACGCCCATGAACTATATTAATATTCTTAATATCCCAACCACTTTTAAATCGATTATTTTTTACCCAATATTTAAATTGAGACGATTTCATTTCCGAAAAGAAAATATTTCTCACCAAACGCAATTGCATCATTAAAAAATAAATTTACATCATTTATAGCGTAGTTATCTGGAATTATATTTTACGGGCTAGTGAACTCATTATTGAACCACACTCTGGCGTATCTATAAATAGCATGCGTGGTGTTTGAACCGTGTTGGTGTTTGAACTTTGCTGGCGAATTATAGATAGAGATGATTTAAATATGTGTCAACTTTGATCAAATTTTTTTAACATGGATCCCCCTCCCACCCACTCCTTTACTACATAGCTTTCTTGGGAGCTCCTCTGGACAAATACTTCAGTCCAGTCCCCAAAGTGAAAATAGTTCGAGCCGAGAAGAAAGGCGGTTTGATCAAAGCAAGACTTCTGGGGTTTGAGGCGTCCACGGCCCCAGTGGCTGTGTTTTTGGATGCCCACATTGAGTGTTTCCCAGGTAAGTGAGACGTAACATACTTGTTGGATTAAATCAACTGCTCGGAATGTTTTTGTTTTTTTAACTTCACACTAAATAACTATCTCCAACCCCCCCCCCTTTTTTTTTCTTCTTAAAATTCCTCATCATTCCAACCTGCGTTGACGTCTTCAGACTGGGCTGAATCGTTGTTGCTGCAGATCAAATTGAACCCTAAGGCCGTTGTGTTTCCATTCATTGCTAAAATCAGCGATAAGACATTCGGTGTCCGCTGCAAATACGATTCCAACTACTACGGAAGTTTTCATTTCAAAAATCTTTTTTTTGATTGGATGGAGATTCCAAAACGTGAGTTCGACAGGAGGAAGGATATCACCATACCTTTCAGGTGAGCCAACCATACCGTTCAGGTGAACCAACCATACCATTCAGGTGAGCCAACAATACAATTGAGGTGAGCCAACAAACCCTTTCAGGTGAGCAAACAATACCATTCAGGCTTGCCAACTACATAATTCAGGTAGCCAACCATACCATTCAGGTGAGCCAACCATACCATTCAGGTGAGCCAACCATACCATTCAGGTGAGCCAACCATATTAATCAGGTTAGCCGTCCATATCATTTAGGTGAGCCAACCATACGATTCAGTTGAGCCAACCATGTCATTCAGGTGAGATCCCAACTCAATAAAATAACATTTACGGACAAATATTCAATCTGCACTATTTGTATGGAACAACATTTTATTTAAGACTTATTTTAAAGTTATAGTGCTGAAAATAAGAAGCTAAAAAAAATAATTAAATATCCGCACGTCTATATTTATATGACTCTATCTACTATGCTTAAAATCAAATAGGTATCTTTTTATGACTATGACTTTACATTATTTGAAAGTGAGACGTGAGTCTATTTTAAAGTGTTAGCTTCACGAATGACCTTCTCAACAGTTTTCTTTTATTTAAGAGTATACAAGCTTTAAACAATTTTTTTTAAAATGATTTTACAATGTCTATTTTTTATGCGAACATCCTAAAGTTCTTTCCAACAATTGTTTTTAAGCTAATTTAAAAAAAAAACAACTGTTATTAAACTTACGGACAGTTGGTCACCATGGTGACGGCAAAAAGAAAATTTGCCAGAGCTCGCACCTGTCGGTTTCATAACATGTTAAATACAAGAACAGGATGCCAACATGGCCCCGATTTAGACGACGCTAAAAATAGGTCAATATTTAAAGTTTTAAAGTCATGACGGAAAAGGACTTCCTAAAGCAGCGGTTCTCAGCCTGTGGGTCACAAACCCTTTTCACAATTCCCCCATTACGCTTAGAGTTTTTATTATTATTATTATTTGTTTTTGTTTTTTTATATAAGCGTGGTACCCCAGCCTTGGGCTGGGCTCACCACGTTGTACATGCAATTAAACAAACATAATCATGAACTTAAAAATTGACATACATTAATTAAAAACAAAACAAATCAAATGTATATTCACATTCAGGAACTATTTACACGTCAAGCCATGGACGGCTGTCCAGCAGCATCGTTTATCGGTCAGAGGGAGGAATCAGTCAGGACATTAGAGTTTAAACACATTTGTTTTGATTGCAGTTTTTAATCGTTGTGATGGTCGGTATATTGCGAATGTGTAGTGGAAGAGAATTCCATTGTTTGGGGGCGCAGAAAGAGAAAGTTCCTTCACCGTATGTTTTTGTGCGAGTTTTGGGAACATAAAGATTACGCGTGTCTGCCGAGGAGCGAAGCTGTGGAAGGGGTGAATAGACAGAGAGAAGTTTGGTTGGATGGGAAGGGCAGGAATTCGAGAAAAAGTTGTGGCAGAGAACAGAGAGTTTGTAGTCAATCGGTGCTGGTACACAAAGGGAAACTACCAATCTAATATGAAACATTTCCGCCTTTCTGGTCCCCACGATTTCGTCAGATGAAAGTGATTAGGTGAAGAAAGCTAACTTTGTCAGAGTGATTGGCAGGTTTTCATGTTTGAAGACTATGAAAGTAAAGCTTTAGCGGTTAAGAATAATGTCTTGATAAAAAAATAACGTTTATGCTTTTTTTTTATAACCCTGTTACCTCAAATTCTATGATTTCCTTTTAAGTCTTTTTTGATTCAGGACTTATTTTACAAAGATTTTCTGTATGATTTGGTTAAGAATTACCTAATGCAGGTCCGGGGGTGGGGGTTGGTGAGTTCTGAGAGGGGGTTGGCACCATGACTTGACCACAGTGGACACCAACCCTAGTGACACATTTACTCAGCCGAGCGTTAATAGCAAGACTTAATATTTTAAGATAACTGTTGGCATGCCCCAAGTCTTAAGTGAAAATATACACCTCTTCACAGCACAAGTTGGATTTTTATATTTAAACCATTCTTGGTGACCTATTTGTTGGATTAGCCGTTATGAGTAACCTATTTGTTGGATTAGCCGTTATGAGTAACCTATTTGTTGGATTAGCCGTTATGAGTAACCTATTTGTTGGATTAGCCGTTATGAGTAACCTATGTGTTGGATTAGCCGTTATGAGTTACCTATGTGTTGGATTAGCCGTTATGAGTAACCTATGTGTTGGATTAGCCGTTATGAGTTACCTATGTGTTGGATTAGCCGTTATGAGTTACCTATGTGTTGGATTAGCCGTTATGAGTTACCTATGTGTTGGATTAGCCGTTATGAGTTACCTATGTGTTGGATTAGCCGTTATGAGTTACCTATGTGTTGGATTAGCCGTACAGTGTAAGATAAAAGTTAGTGACTATAATAAACTTACTTCTATTTTTTTCGAAATGAGCTTCCCAAGCAGCGCAAGCCTTTAGGGAGTGCGACCTGCTTCCTTGCACAAGGCGCCGTGGCCATATGCGCACCTTGGGCGCCCATCAAATATTTAAACTCCTTAGTTTACTGTAGTGAAGTGTGAAGTACCGTAGAAAAAAAACTGTCTAAGTTAATGGGCATGTTAAATTGCGTATGGTTAGTTACATGTACAGCATCATAACATGTGCTCCATAGCCTTCGTCGTAATTGAAAAAGAGCGGAGTCAGACAGGGAGAGGGAAGGGGGCGCCAAAAGTGTTCTTCACACAGGGCGAAAGTTTACCTGAGGCTGACGTAGTCATAATGTCCTCGGTACGTCTCTGCTTGGCAATAATGTAGGCCACATAAAATAGGAAACCATTGAGTTAAGTCTAAAACTTCCTTTTTTAATATATAAATTATTTCAAACGTTCAGGTCTCCTGTAATGCCCGGGGGTCTCTTTGCCATATCTAGAAAATTCTTCATAGAACTTGGCACCTATGATCCTGAGTTGGACTTTTGGGGTGGAGAAAATATTGAACTATCATTTAAGGTACACACATTTTACATCATATCTTTGGCTTAGCTGCATCTGATATATTGTATCTATATAAATTTTAAAAATTCCTCATTCCATGAAATAGATGTACAGTTATATGAATCTTACAATTTATCCACATGACCTAATTTAACCATCCAGACCTGGATGTGTGGTGGCACTTTATTGATGGACGTTTGCTCTCATGTGGGCCACGTCTTTCGCTCTGGCGTTCCCACCAAGGGGGCCCCCAATGCTGTCATCAAAAACACAATGAGAGTGGCCGAAGTGTGGATGGACGACTACAAAAATTACTTCTATGAGGCAAAAAATTACCAAATTGTAAGTTATCTTGGCATGACAAGTTAACCAATTCTACTACACACGTTAACCAATTCTACTACACACGTTAACCAATTCTACAACACACGTTAACCAATTCTACTACACACGTTCAACAATTCTACTACACATGTTAACCAATTCTACTACACATGTTAACCAATTCTACTACACACGTTAAACAATTCTACTACACACGATAAAAAATTCTACTACACACGTTAACCAATTCTACTACACATGTTAACCAATTCTACTACACACGTTAACCAAGTCTACAACACACGTTAACCAATTCTACTACACATATTAACCAATTCTACTACACACGTTAACCAATTATACTACACACGTTAACCAATTCTACTACACACGTTAAACAATTCTACTACACATGTTAACCAATTCTACTAAACACGTTAACCAATTCTACTACACTTTAACCAATTCTACTACACACGTTAAAAAATTCTACTACACACGCAAAGGTGCCCGCAGGAATTTTTCCAGGGGGGGGGAGGGTGTCAACAAACTTCGAAATTCTTTCTCATGATATGAACATATAAATAAGAGCAAAGAGTGTAAGTCTATATATTAATAGCAGCCTACTTTTTAAATTAGAGTTGTTGTTTTTTTAAACAAATATAAAAGAGTATTTTGAATGAAAAAAAAAATCGTTTCTTAACATAAATTAGTAAGCCTAATTAGTAACCGGGGCACCACCTATATGAATACCTGAATTCAAATCCTTAACCGTCAGGTTGAGCCGATTCACAGAGCAAGGAACCATATCTGCTTTTGGAAAAATCTTGCATGTTTTAGTCTGAGCACCGCCTCCTTTTTGCTGCTATTGTAGAACAGCCGTCAAAACCATTGTCAACGTAATTTTGACATTTTCAGACCACTTTGATTGAAGTGATTCAAATTAGCACGTGCAATTTTCAAATATAAAGTGTAAGTTAAGCCCAACGTACAATTTGCAGGTGCCGTCAATGGATTCAGTGGCAGTAATCTGATAAATTATTCACGAATTTTAAATGCAGTATCTACCTTGTCGACATAGACAAACAACCAACAATAATTGTTCTGTTCCCGATGTACACTTTTTCATAGGCTAATATTGAGAATCCTATAGACTTGTTTGCTGAAAACGTAATGTGTTCCTTTATTGCTTTCTCATCTATCTCCATCATTTGATTGTAGTTTCTTTGTTACTTCATCTATCTCCATCAGTTGATTGTGGAGTATCACCAATGGACGTTGTAAATGTGTCTCCAGGTCCACAACGTAAGCCTCCACTCTAAACTGAAGACGACCATGAACATTTCCACAGTCACTATTTCTGACACAAAGCGCGATGTCGTGTGTTCCGCAGATAATGATTGTGGACACTATTGACAAGAGCTTATTTCGGGTTTTTATAAAATCTTATTTGAAATGTACTTGTCTCTTTGAGTTAGGATAAGTCAGATTGGATTCACTTCAGAAAGACTTCCAGGAATCGCTAACTCTACCACCCGTGTGTTACGTACCGTTGTAAGTGTAGAGAATTAAATCTCTTATTTTACACTATACCTTATGTCAAGCAGTAAATAAAAAAGGACGATAATTAAATAATGTAATAAACAATCGATACCCAAACTAAGGCTAATTAAAAATAGTAATTCATTAAGTTAATTTAAAATTTATAAAATCGA